CACATTCATACTCAATATACCACATATACATGCATACTTAATCCACGTACAAGTCATTATAATTTAAAATACCGATAAACAATCAATATCTCTATGCAGTTTTCAAATACACAATCATACTTATATTGCATACACAAACACACACACACACACAAACACCCACTTACTGTTCTATATCCTACTTCCCCAATCCCTTTCTCTTCCACTCAATTGTTCGCCTCTCATCAGTACACCTGCACCTCTCTCAAACTTCCCCTGCTCTCAGTCCCTCTCTTCCTTCACCTCTATCTTTTTCGCCTCACAGCACTTTTCTCCCTATCACCATCAACCACCACTTTAACCCCTATGCGTCCATCAGAACCCATTCCCTACATTTCTTTTTGCCTCTCTCTCTCTGTATTTCACCTCCCTTCCTTCAACCCGATTTCAGTATGTTTTTCCTATCTCCCCCTTTCTCGGATAATCACCTAGAGCACACACACACCCTCCCTCTCCACCTAATGTTCCCATATTTTGTTTCTTCCCTTTATGGTGTTCGTCCAACTTCCACTCTCCTGTACGTATATCGTTTTCTCTCGACTCACCCTTTCTGTACCTGTTTACCTCTCCTCCCCTGAATTCCCTTACTCCTCTTCACTCACAGTCCTAATCGAACCTCCCCATAATCGACCTCCTTCCTTCGCTTTGTTATTTCATCAGGCACCGATGTCCTCCTTCAATTTCTTACACTGTCTCAACCACATCATAGAACTTTAGCTGCCATTTCAAAGTTTGCAAGATTGAATTCGCATTACCTATGTTTGAAATTGAAATTCACCATACTTTCAGTCTCTATTTTTTCGCACTTTTGTAGCTCGCACCGTCACCTTTCTCCTTCTCTCGCTCGCTCTTCTCCTTCTTTCCCTCTCCGACTCCCCTCTCGTTCGAATCTTCTATCACCAGTTTCCTTCTTCCCTTCCCCATTCTCCCTTTTTCTATCCTTTGTCTTTCTTTCCTTTCTTTTTCTTTTCCTTCCCTTTTTATATTCCACCTACCATGCAATCCTGGCCATCCATCCCTTCTCTCCATCTGCACGCCTCCTAGCCATCCATTTCTTTTCCCCAAATATAATGTACACTCTCTATTTCACTATTCCCTCTCTCCTTTATTTTATTTATTTAT